AGCCTGTGGTCTTGTAAGTTTGGAGTCTTCGAAGGTAAAGACCAGTCTTGTCAGTGATAAGCGGTCATGAGTCTGTAAAAGAACATTAACAATTAGGTTTTATGCAGATTGCCGAGATCCTTAAAGATCGTCCTTCGTGGTTTCGTGATTGTCGGAGCCTCGAGGTTTTTACCATGTTTCCAGCTGGAAACGGTGGGACAATTGAACTTGTTTACACACAGGTAAAAAAAAAACTGGTCTGATTTTATTTTTTCCTTTCATGTATTGAACACAGTAGTGAAGGGAGTCGGTTCTGTTGTAGGTGTATGCTCCAACTACCCTTGCTCCTGCACGTGATTTTTGGACGCTAAGATACACAACAACTTTAGAAAATGGCAGCCTTGTGGTAAGCATGAGTTTTAGTTGTCACATGAAATAGTAATTTTTCTATTGGAAAAGAAACATTTATTTTTGATCCATCGATATTTATAGGCAGTTGATCCTTCATGAACATAGATGTGTAGGGTAATATCTATTCTTTTCTTGGCCCTCCATATATTCAGGTTTGCGAGAGATCACTCTCTGGTTCTGGTGCTGGTCCTAGTGCAGCTGCTGCTGCTCAATTTGTGAGAGCTGAGATGCTCCCAAGTGGTTACCTGATTCGACCATGTGAGGGTGGTGGATCCATCATACATATTGTTGATCACCTAAATCTTGAGGTTTGTTTTGCATGCTCTCCCAGATCTTTTTTACTCTGTAAAACTTGATTCCTTGATTATAACGTTACTCCTATTTTATCGATATTGTAGGCATGGAATGTTCCTGAGGTGTTGCGACCACTTTATGAATCATCAAAAGTAGTGGCTCAGAAGATGACTATAGCAGTAAGATAATTGTTTCCTGAAGTATTATAGATCTTTTGAAAAGTTGTAGTTTTTTATCAAGAACTTTTTTTACGTACCATTTGGAGCTTGTTTGGTACACATTATAATGCTGAAATGTGATTTTTAGAAAATTAGTTTACAAATACCCGCATACCTATTACGCGTTCTACAGTGTAGTCATCTGGTTAATGGCGCTAGGTGTGGAAAATATGAATTGCTGAAGGAAATTTCTTTCTTAAAATCCATGTATGATAGCGAGTTTTTGATGACCCTTTATGCTGTACTGCTCGAGAAGAGGGCAGCGAAAGCATGACTTAACAATTGTATTTTTCTTTGATTTATCAATTGAATGCACACTTGTCTTTGTGAAGGCATTGCGGTACATTAGGCAAATAGCTCAGGAGACAAGTGGTGAAGTGGTTTATGGTCTGGGCCGGCAACCTGCTGTTCTGCGAACTTTTAGCCAAAGATTGAGCAGGTATCTACATGCTCTCTCTTATTACTTTCTAACATGTATGTCAAACTCATATGTGCATTATCTTCTTTCAGGGGTTTTAATGATGCAGTGAATGGATTTAATGACAACGGATGGTCATTGATTAATTGTGAAGGTGCTGAGGATGTGGTACTTGCTGTGAATTCTACGAAAAATTTTGGCACAACATCGAACCCTGCTAACTCCTTGACTTATCCTGGGGGTGTTCTTTGTGCAAAGGCATCCATGCTACTCCAAGTATGATTATTTACTGTTGCGTAACTTATGGTAGCTATTTTCTTCTTAGCATCGATTTTGATGTAGTTGACTGTTATGAACTGGTTTGATAAATGTGGTAGGATTATTCTTTCTCATTAATGAGATACAAATAGAGAAATCATTTTGTTCATTTTTCTTGTTTTCTTTTTTTTCTTTTTCCATGCTAGAATGTTTCTCCTGCTGTGTTAGTTCGTTTCTTGAGGGAACATCGCTCAGAGTGGGCTGATTTCAACATTGATGCGTACTCTGCGGCAACCCTTAAAGCCAATTCATACGCATATCCTGGGATGAGACCCACGAGGTTTACTGGTAGCCAAATCATCATGCCACTTGGTCACACAATCGAGAATGAAGAGGTTTGTTTTAAATGGTCTCTGTTTCTTGTCATCTAGTGCTTAGAGCTATATAATATCCGATTATGGTGTATTCCAGTTGCTTGAAGTAATTCGACTTGAGGGACATCCTATGGTACAAGAAGATGCTTTTGTTTCGAGGGACATTCATCTTCTTCAGGTTGGTATTTGATTATTAGAAGTTCTTTTGGATGCTCGATGATCTTGTCTGGTTTAACAATAAGTTGCTCATGTTGCAGATCTGTAGTGGAATTGACGAGAATGCTGTAGGAGCCTGTTCAGAACTCATTTTTGCACCTATTGATGAGATGTTTCCAGACGACGCCCCGTTGCTGCCTTCTGGCTTTCGAATCATCCCATTGGATTCCAGATCAGTTGAGTATAATTGTTTCATATGAATCTGTTGTGATCCTCCATACTTATTCTTGATGTGAATTTTTAATTTTGGCTGTAAGCATAAGTTTCATTCTGAAGATTGAATTCTAGTGGACAATGTTGTTCCCATCCTAGAATTTTTATTTGTGTGGCATATGGAATTTATATTTTAGGATATGTGCCGTGTTTTAAACTCGTCTTGTGCCGAATGTGTTCATTTGCTCGATGAACGAACCCTATAACCCAAAAAATTCTTAATGCAGAGTGACGCAAAGGGTAGTCAACGGACTCTGGATCTAACATCAAGTCTTGAGGTGGGCTGTGGAACTAGCAATGCTGCTGGAGATGCATCATCAAGTCCGAGCTCTAGATCAGTGTTAACTATTGCATTCCAGTTTCCTTTCGAAAGCAGCATGCAGGACAATGTTACAAACATGGCACACCAGTATGTACGAAGCGTCATTTCCTCAGTGCAACGAGTTGCAATGGCCATATCTCCTTCTGGGGGCAGTCCAGCACTGGGTCCAAAGCTGTCTCCTGGTTCCCCAGAAGCTCTTACTCTAGCACACTGGATATGCAAGAGCTATAGGTATCTTCTGATCACAACGTTTTTTTCATACACTGCACGTGTTAGTTAGTTGTGTACGAGCAGAAAACGGAAATATAAAGGATATAACATTGGAGGATCTAACTAGGCTATGTAGCTCGACGATACTGTAGTTTATTAATCTTCTTTTAAATGATATCTTGTTTCAGTTTCCAACTGGGATCGGAGTTGATCAGGTCGGATTCCTTGGAAAGTGATTCCGTGTTGAAAAATCTCTGGAATCATCAGGATGCAATATTGTGCTGTTCGCTTAAGGTACATAAAAAAAACAGCATATAGAAACTTCTTTTTCAGTAATTTGATTGATTTTGTCTGGTTTTACTTGCAGCAGGCACTGCCTGTTTTCCTGTTTGCAAACCAATCTGGTCTTGACATGTTGGAGACAACTCTAGTAGCCTTACAAGACATCACATTGGATAAGATCTTTGACGAGTCTGGTCGCAAAGCTCTGTGTTCTGATTTCCCAAAGTTAATGCAGCAGGTAGATTAACTCACTCTTTGCATCAAGATTCTGTTGGTAATGTGTATTTTGTAAACTGTGTTCGGCTTTTCGATCAGGGATTTGCATACTTGCCTGGTGGAATATGTGCATCGACCATGGGGCGACACGTTTCATACGAACAAGCCATTGCGTGGAAAGTCCTTGAGGCAGACGAGACGACGGTCCATTGCCTTGCCTTCTCATTCATCAATTGGTCCTTTGTTTGATTGAAGCAAGCCTTCTTCAATGGCTCCTCGACCTCGTCCATTGGAACAAGTGAAACGAAGATGAAGATGAAGATGTTTGTTTCAACGTCTGGCCTCCAAAGTAATTTAATTATTTTGTTAATTAATTGGTTTCCATTTCATTCTGCTTTTAATGTCCATTTTGATTCATGTAAATATTGGCGAGCCCATTAGATTACAAATACATGACCCATGAAGGAGACAGTTTTGAAGCTTTTCAGGCTATGGTTCTTTTTCTCATCATCCTCCAACTCTTGTCCTGTTAAACCTGTTTCAAAGTTTGATAATGGTTCTATTGAAAATGGTTGGGAGAGGTTGATCATGAGTTTATAAGTAAATAATACTATCTCGATTGTTATGAGGACTTTTGGGAGAACTAAAAGCAAAGTCACGAGAGTTCATTCTCAAAGTGGACAATATGATAACAAATAATGACCCACGAAAAGATAGTCTTAACTAAGATCGTGCATTGCATCTGTCGCCGGACCCGATCTCCCCTCATTGAGACCTAACAAAATGATAAAGACCCTATAAAGGATTGGCTTTGGTTCTTTGCTCCGTGCAGAGAATGGAGATCAAGAACTCACTATTCCTTAGATTCATGGACCTTTCATTCACATTTTTTAGTCAGAACCTCTCTGACTCCACTTTAGTCATTAATCAGACCGGTGAAGCAAGCCAACCGATGACTCGACTCACTCAAAGAATGGATGAGAAGCATAAAAGCGCGGTAAATCGTTTCATTGCTTTGGTGGGAAGGGAATGAGTAGCCTTTTTCTTTTTGTTTGGTTTGACTTTTGTTTCAGAAGGATTTATCATTCTATTTTTACCATGAACGGACGAGCATTCATTAAGTTATGCTCTGAAATAATGAACCATTATAACAGTATTATAAAGTAAAAAAGTCATTTATTAGTTATTACGCAATAAACGTTCAAATTAATCATACTTTTTCCTAGTCTAAGAACAAAATGTTTGTCTTCTTGTCTGTGACTTTTGAGCAGTCCAAGAAGAAAGGGTTTGGACTTGTTTGTGGTATGGAAATTAATGGAAGTTTTATTCATTTCTTATACGTGTAAGGGCTTCAATTCGCCAAGCTTAAGTCTCAAGTCCCCCATGAAGAATTATATTTCAAGTTCTTAGCCCGTCCATCTAGGATTTTAGAACCCAAAGTTTAACCTACCAGGTAAATTTCACAAATCTATGTAATTTTACTATTCAACCTGTATGATATATATTATATATATTTACGAAAAAATCGAAGATAAAATGAAAGACTAGACCATTATGAATATATCTTAGCAATAGTTGACATGTAGTCCTTTACTCGACAGAGTTTCACAATATTCCACCTAATAAGGCCACAACGAGAAGAATGTCGTTCTGTTCAATCCAAGACTAAGAAACATGTACGCTTATGAAGCTCACAATGGGTAAATGATTCTTTCCCATAATACACACGAGAGATAATGACAAAACGTTTGTATTTTCAATTAGTGCACAGGACATCCGGAGGAAGCGACACAAAAAATCCACCTTTTTTTAAGACAGCAGCATTGGATTCTACATTCCTCCAAGAATAGTATCATAAACAATGAAGAACATCAAACTAATATCATATATAGTATTTGAAAATGTAAAGGTTTCAGTAAATGAAGTGTAGAATCCCAACAAAACTGACGGTAGGAAGGAACAAATAAAGATGAATGCAAGGGGAAGGGGAAGGGGAAGGGGGTATTTACTGATGTTTGGTCGAGTTACCTTTCATCTTGATGCAAGTGACCAGAAGTTGAAGAAAAATGAAGGCAATGTGGTGAGCCAGCAGAGGAATGCCATTGCAGTTGCTGATTGAAGCTGCACACACTTGTTCACCGAACAAAGGTCGAGGTCGTTGTCTATTAGGACTGTGATGCCCGCACAAGCACATGCTGCTGCAAATGTGAGCGTGGTGGTGATCTGTAGGAGGAGACAAGAGAGCCAACTATTTCACTGTTTATAACCGACATAGCAAGCAAGCCCCATGTACTCAAAATTTGATGGTTGTGATGATGATAAAATTATCAACATGGGTCAGAAGACAACAGTTCTCAGATACTTAGCAACATTGGTAATCAGTAGCTTCGTTTTGACTATCTTTAACTGCTCAAGCCCACCACTAGCAGATATTGTCTTTAAATTTTCCCTTTCGGGCTTCCCCTCAAGATTCTTCGCAGACTGTAACAGTCCAAGCTCACCACTAGTAGATAGTGTTCTCGTTAGGTTTTCCCTTTCGAGCTTCCCCTCAAGGTTTTTCGCAGATTCTAACAACCTAAATCCACCGGTAATAGATATTGTTCTCTTTAGGTTTTCTCTTTCGGGCTTCCCCTCAAGGTTTTTCGCAGACTGTAACAGCCCAAGCCCATCGCTAGCAGATATTGTTTTCTTTAGGTTTTCCCTTTCGGGCTTCTCCTCAAGGTTTTTCGCAGACTCTAACAGCCCAAGCTCACCGCTAGTAGATATTGTTCTCTTTAGGTGTTCCCATTCGGGCTTCCCCTCAAGGTTTTTTTGTAGACTCTAACAGCCCAAACCCATCACTAACAGATGTTGTCCTATTTGAGTTTTCCATTTCAAGCTTCCCCTCAAGGTTTTTAAAACGCATTTACTAGAGAGAAGTTTCCACACCCTTATAAAAGAATGTTTTGCTTCCCTCTCCAACCACTATGGAATCTCACAATCCACTCCCTTCGGAACCCAACGTCCTTGCTAGCATTCGTTCCTCTCTCCCATCAATGTGGGATCTCAGACAGACATTGATAGGAAATGTTTGATACATGAGAAGTTAAAATGGACAAACAGAAGAAGATTGTAAAAGCATTTCAACGAGCCAATTGGTTTCAGATGGATTTAGGTGTTAAACGAACTTACCCCATCACCTACAGCAAAAAAAGTAACAATTGGACGATTATGCAAGTTCCGCTTCACTAAAAGAGCATAAATGTCAATAACTGCTAGGAAAAAACTCCATAAGCCCTGCAAACCGGCAGCTGCGACAAGGTAGCTGAAGCAAAGAAAAACATGGAGTGTATCAGCCATTGTTATCCAGTAGAAAATGCAAAGCCCTCAACAGTTAAGCTCATTCAGACGTGATAATTGAAGAATTTAGGCTAAAAAAAACTGCATAGTTATTAATTCACAACACTGAACGCACGTAGAAATGAACTAATAAAATACTGGAAATTTAGTAGCGTATTAGATTCAGGGGACGATTATAGTGCCTTGTAAAGTCAAATTTGAAGAACGATTATAGTTCTTCCTTCATCAGCGTTTATGAGTATGCTATCAAACAAGTTTGAATAAGAATTCGTGAGAATTAAAGAATTTTTTTTTTTTGATCAAGTTAAGGAAAAATCACCTAAATGCAGAGACAGAAGCGAAGTCGCTGGAGGCGGCCATGATACCAAAAGCAGCAGAGGCGAACCCTAACTGGAAGCAGCGAAGGGCGAGACCACCGCGAGTGCCGGGCATGCCCTCTATGTTCTTCATACTCACAATCGGTGCAACGTCTCCGACATCGGTCGCCGGTGTTTCCTCCACAGGATGAATTGACGCAGAGCTCGCGCTCATCTCTCCCAACAATGCAATCAATTCATTTCTCCTTCGAACATATACTCCTTAATTCGTCGATCACATCCCAGGTATCCACCGAAATCAGCCTCTGATCCTGCCGTTTTTCGCCCTAGATAAAAAAAACAGTAACAATCAAACGAATCCAATAATTCTAAGATTCAAAATTCTTCTCTGGTTCACTTGATTATGGAATTATCCAACCGGAAGGGACGAATCGGAGAATCATAGGTCGTTAGTTCTTCGATCGAAACGGCAAGCGCAGACCGGCGACGAAGGGTTTATAACAATAGTCGTTGATCGGTCAACTTTGACTTATCGAAAAAATTACTACTCCTCCTGTGCTCTTATTGGTCACTGGATATTGGTGGGGCCAGTTTGGTGAACTCATTCATACGTGGCATTATTTTAATAAATGTGGTCCCTCACTTCAATTTATCCGATTATTAATATTATAACATTTATGTAAGTTTGTTATTATTATTATTTTATTTAGCAGTCGTTGAGTATTAAATTAAATTCCAAAAACACCCTTAACCTTTACCACGTCAGCGAGCCCAGTGCGACGTGTCGTCTTCAAATTTCAATCAAACGGTAATGGAACCACGTGATTTCGAAATCAACCGGCAATTCCAGTAGGAAGTCGTCATACGACATCGAGATGCACTATTTTATTACATATTTATTTATATTTAAAATATGCATTTCTTTGGGTAATGCGGTCAGTATCATATTTTTAAATTATAATTTGACTTTTCTTTTAAATAAAAAATTTAAAATCAAAATAATTCCATCTATTTCATCCTAACTTTATTTTTATTTTTCGATTTAACTAAGTATTAAGTTTAAAAATTATTATAAAAATTAAGAATATTTTACGTTTATGCTAATACTCGTGAATACTCTATATTTGAGTTTTATAAGATTTTAGTTATTGATGTAACATGTAACGTGAATAAGTACAATTTTTAAAAAAATAATAATAAAAAAGGAACAACCCGACAACTAAACCAACTCAACTCGACGGGTTTGGTTACTTGGGTTACTACCAACTTAATTAACCTAAAATTTCGAGTTAGACTTCAAAAATTTTCTAATTCAATTAAACGTGTGTACGTGATCAGAGGTAAAAATTTAAAATATGTGAAAAAAAATATTTTATAAATATTAATAATACAATACATATGTATAGAAAAGTAGTAATGAAACTTTTTTACCTTAATTTAAAAAAAGAACAAAAAATAGAAGGAATTTTTAGGGAAAATATGGTGCAGCAGGTGCAGGTTATGCAATGGTGTGCACCTTTTGCGCCACCAAAAACTTGGACTCCGGTTCGAGATATTTTTCCTTTTATTTTTCATAATTTGTATTTATTTTAATTCATTAATTATTTTTTTTTTTTTAAAATATATATATATATATATATATTATCGTCCTCTTCCCTGTCAGAATTTTGAAAATAATATTTCATTCGTGGCTCTGTCTTCTGTTCCTCTCCATCTTTACAGACTTGCCTCCTCCCGATCTCCATCTCCCTTAAAATTAGGGTTTCCAGATTCACAGCTCCCCAGGCTCTCAAGCTGCTGCTCTTCTCTGTCTGGAATCTGCACCTCCTTTTTATCCTCCGCTCTCCAACTAAACCCTTCCCTGCAAATAGGGTTCGCAGATCTACCTCTCCTTCAATTTCCTCAACATGTTTTGGAGGCTAACTTCCCTTTCTACTTCATCTCCTGTAAGTGATTCTGATACATCTAATTACACCGAATACACCTGCCCAATTCACGCTTTGGGGTTTTCAAATGGCTGGGAATAGGGACGGAGTTGTTTTAAAGTATGGCCGATGGATTTCTATTTTTGTTGTTTGTGTTGACGTATATTGGTTTATACCACGTGCAATTACTTTGTTTTCAATTTGATTCGCTGGCCATTTCTTTTGATGGAGCTCCCTAATTAAATCTGGGGTTTGGCACTCTAGTTATACTTTTTAGGAGATTGTTTGCTGTCTGGACTGATTGAGTTGGACTCCAGCAGGTTTTAGTGCTTGTCATGATTGTTATTTTTAATTATTGTCACATGCACGTATTATGTGTTGCAAAATGTAAACCGTTGCTGCTTCCCCTTTTTTATTTTGTCCCTCTGAACTGTTCCAGAAATTGAGACGCGTTAGCGTTTGTCGTCAGTTGTGTTTTTCCCTTCGAAGTTGTCTCGATTAAGTCAGGTTCATGTTTGACTGATGAAGAGTTGACCTGTTATGTTCATCTGCATCCGGTTTCCAAAGAAATTCCAGAGTAACGCTGTGTGATTGTATAATTACTTCTTGAATAAATGACATGTTCTCTAACCTTCTGAATTAGTTTTAAGTCTTAACGGATGAAGAGTTGACTGTTTATGTTCATCTGGACTCTGTTTCCATAGAAATTTCAAAGTTAGGCTGTATGAGTGTAACGATGTTTCTTGAATTGTATAGCATTTCTGCTAACTTTTTGAATTATGATAAAAGTTTTCCCATAGTTTGGGGAACATAATATATTTTTTTTATTGAAAACAAAATAGCATTATCATCTCTCTCTCCTCATTTTTTCGTTGAAAATGTTTCAGAAATGGAAACAAGAATATCAATCAAATGTAACCAGTTCTTTGGTTTGGAAGGATGAATGATTAGATGTAAACTGCTTGATTCTTCAGCATATTATGTAACATTAGTACCTTCGCATTATGAACAACCTTTTAAAAGGCTAAAATTAGCCTTGAGGCTTTTACTCTTGAAGAGGTGAGCCGACTTTACAAATCTGAAATTGGTAGGACCTAGCATTGCTAAACATAATAATCATATTAAGTATAAAAAACTACCTTTGTCAATTGCCGTTTAAACAAAAATTCTAAGATTGACTTATGCTATAAACTTTGTCTTCAATACTGGTGAAGTCACAATAGGAAAATAGGAAAAGTAGTAATAGTTCAATTTTTCACAACTCAAGCGTTTATATTTAGTGAAGATGAGTCAAATCCATATTGTTCTTCATGAGGTGTAAAGACTTTAAGTGTTAGTCCATTTTACAGAGGTGTAAGCCTCTCACGCCTCTTCTAAGAAAGGTTTAAGTCTCTTATGGCCGAAGGAGGCGCAAATCTTGAGGCTAAAAGTTGTTGGCTTGTCTCAAGACGAGCCTCAAGGTGTAAGTTTCAACATTGATATTGAATTGGTTCCCATCGTTCTTCAGAAAAGTGTTGCAATGGAGGCATATAAATTCTTTCTTTACTGTTATTATTTTTCATAAAAATTGTAAGTAGGCATGTAAATTTAATTATACTTACACCACCATTTTATCTTCTAATGTTTTTTCATTTGTTTCACTGTCAGGTGGAATCAATTTTAGACAAAGAAAATTTCTCATTGGAAGAGCTTCTCGATGAAGAAGAAATAATTCAAGAATGCAAAGCCCTGAACAGTCGTTTAGTTAACTTGTAGGGTTCTTTTTCATTATATCATTTGCTTGTTCTTTTATTTTTAATCTGATTCTTTGTGTTAACATAATATGTCAATTTCATATTGGTTGAATGTTCTGATGGGTTTGGGTATTAGTGATGTATCATTAATATGAGCAGGAATGGATCTTTATGATTCACCCATAAAATTTAATGGACAATTGTTTTTGCCTTCAGTCTACGAGACAGAGCCCAGGTGGAACAACTATTGCGCTACATTGTTGAAGAACCTCCAGAGGATGCAGAAAGCAAACGAGCATTCAAGTAATAGTATTTTCTAATTATTTACGTGTACGCACACACATTTTAGATATTTTCTTTCTACGCCTAGTTTTCAAACTGTTTTATTGATTGCTTATTGTGAATTAGGTTCCCGTTTATTGCCTGTGAGATTTTTACTTGTGAAATTGATGTTATTTTGAAGACTCTAGTAGAGGAGGAAGAGGTACAGGCTCATACCTTTTTTTTTGTTGGTTATCTACCCCATAATTTGGTTGATGTGGTTACCATGAAAAATAACATCATCTTACTTTTGACTGCAGCTAATGAACATGCTTTTCTCCTTCTTGGAACCAGACCGACCTCATAGTGCTTTGTTAGCTGGTTATTTCAGCAAGGTACCTTGAAATTTTATTGTAGAAATGGATTCATCTCATGCTCCTTAAATTTCATTTTAAGTCCTAGGGAATCATACGGGTATTTTTTGTTGGGTTGGGGATCTTTGTATGCTCCTGAAGGGAGTTTTCTCTAACTTCTCACTATTTTAATGAAAAGTTGTTTTGTTTTCAAAAAAATTAGGTAATCATATGCCTCATGATACGGAAGACAGTTCCACTTATGCACTATGTCCAGGTATGTCAACGTATACAAGATCCAAACTTCTGCTTCTTGCTCAATTTGGGACTTACTTTTACTATCTAGTATCTGGCTGCAATATATGTATCTATATAGTTTGACTACATGAATTAGAATTACCGAAGTTGTGTTTTTTATTTTATGTATATGTATGTTTTCTCTTGGTTGATTGATGATTGACCAAGAATTTATGGTCTCACAGTCAAACCTTTTTGCAAATGTTTTGCTCCATAAAGTTTCTGTGCTTGTGCATTTATCATTTTTCTTGAAGGATATCTTATAAGGCTACTCATTCTTGTCTCTTAAGGTGTATTAATTGAGCTTTTCATCTTTATTTTCCCGGACATTCATTCATGGTCTGATTTACTTTTCATGTAATCTCTTTGTTTTTTTGTTTATTGCTGTATATCAAATGTGTTTTCTAAAGTGTTACTTTCTTATTCCAAACACTCTGGGTCAGACATTGCTTAGTGAGATTGATGGTTGTAGGGTGTTATATTCTTATCAACATATGGCTACATTTTTTAATTTATTTTTTCTTTTATTACTTCTTTGTCCTATAATGTAGTGAACTGCCGTCTCAAGTATTTCCCCCTTTTGCAGGCTCATCGAGATGTATTGCGGCAATTAGTTGATTTAATTGGAATCACATCCATTATGGAGGTAGTGTAGGCTTGTTAAGGCTTCTCCATTAATAAAATCTTAAATGCTGACTAGTTTGCTCTCTGATAAGAAATAGAGTTTTCTTTGCAGGTTTTGGTACGACTTGTAGGTGCTGATGATCACGTCTATCCAAATTTTATGGATGTGATGCAATGGTTGTCTGAGAGTGATATGCTGGAATTGATTGTTGATAAACTGAATCCATCTGTGAGTGATAGCTTCTATATGATTATATAGATGTGAAATTACGGTTGTAGATTTTGTGCTGTAAATTGTTGTTGATAAGCTGATTTCATTTTGTTTATAGAAAAGAAGTGGAGTTCATTTATTACAATTGATAAATTGCATTAACATTGATTTCTTGCTCAATTAATTGTTTTTGAACCGCATGTGCTACTGTACACTGGTGGAAGCCATCAACATCACATGTCTATCTGGTTACAAATTAAGCTGCCCCTTAGTTTGCCTCAACAGATGCTTTTCCGTTGGGAGCTTCAACATATTTTTCTCCATTCTTTCACATTTCCTTGTGCAATGCTCATGTTGTTAATTTATACTATCAAGCATTCCTGATGAACTCCATAATTTGGATTTTTATTATTATTATTTGGTTATGAGAAATTGGCAAATAGATGACAGAGTCTTTGGACCTGAAGCAGTCATATTTTTTTTATGGGAAAATCTATTTTAAGCATTACTATGGGGATAAAGGTAGCAAAGGAAATTCAAAATCCTTATAAATAAGATCAGTTTTCTTTTTGTTGTTCCTTCAGGTTGACATGCTTGAAATTTAAATTTAATTGGAGAGTAAAAAAATGTAACAATGTACTAGTCGATAATAGAATTAAGTTTGAAATGGATTATTTTCTGTATGTAAAATTGTGATGCATATTGCGTCATTTATGAGTTGGGTGAATAGTACTACATAAACTTGAGTCATATAATTTATCAAACTAATTTTACTTTTTCTCCTTGGATCAGAGTTTTCCTGAGGTTCATGCAAATGCAGCAGAAACATTGTGTGCTATAGCCCGTAATGCTCCTTCTGCTCTTGCTTCCAAACTTTCTAGTCCCAGGTTGACCAAGAAATGCCTCTTTATTCAGTTTCTATGTTATGTGAAAAAGTTGTTTTTTTGACTCCTTAATTACCTCTTATGCAGTTTTGTTGCAAGGATATTTAATCATGCTTTGGAAGATTCAGATTCAAAGTCTGTCCTTGTGCACTCGCTTTCTGTATGCATTTCTTTGTTGGATCCAAAGAGATCATCAGCATATTCTTCTTTGTTTCACTCTTTCCGAAATCAGCATATGTATGAATGTCCAGTTCCTGTTGATCCAGAGACTGTTGGTGCAATGCTTCCTAAACTTGGTTAGTGTATGATGCTTGTTCCACTCATTTGGTGGTGTCTTAGTTCACACTTGTGTTCTCTTTATCTTCTCTAAATCAATGGGCTAGATGCATAAAAGAAACCACAAGGTGCATACACCGTTCAGTATCGGTCAATAATCATCAAATTTCCAAAGAAATATTTAATTATTGACCTGATACTGATAGGTGAATGCACTTTGTGGTCTCTTTTATACATCTTGCCCATTGATTTTGCGTGCATGTACAGCAGGAAAGCAGCATTTTAAGTAGCACTACGAATATAGCACCGTGGTCTCCAAAATTGCAAATGTTTGATATACTTGTAGGAAGTAAGTTTCTTCTATTAGCTTCTGATGGCATTCCCCTCACAGGTGATTTGTTAAAACTCTTAACCGTGTCATTGGATGATAAAGTATTACCTACAACATATGGAGAATTACGGCCTCCTCTTGGAAAACATCGTTTGAAGGTAGGTGCTGAATTTGTGTTTGTATAAGTTTATATGTTCAATTATGTGATTGTATGGCTCTCTGCTAGAAGTTAGTTGTCTGGTAATATTCTTGATTATTGTAGTTTCTAGAGGATTTTGTTTCAGAACTTGATTTTGTTCTGGCATGTTTTGTGTGTGTGTTTACTTTTTGTTTTTTATTTTTTCATTTTTAAACCTGAATGAATTCTGTGTCCTGTTGTAGGTTGTGGAGTTCATTTCAGTGTTGCTGAAAACAGGCAATGCATCTGCAGAGAAAGAATTAATTAACTCGGGCACCATTAAACGAGTGATTGATCTTTTCTTTGAGTAAGAAATTCTTTATGTCGTAATATTGAAGTCTTGAAAGATGTTAAATTATATTTTTATAGGATCTTCCTATATAAAGTATTCTTGTAGGAACCTTCATACTTGACAACTGCTTATTTGTTAAAATTATTTCTATTTCTATTTCTATTTATGTTTATCTATGTTATCTGATGCAGGTACCCTTGTAATAATTTTTTGCATCATCATGTAGAGAACATTATATTATCTTGTTTGGAGAGTAAGAAAGATGACATTGTTGATCATCTTCTTCGAGAGTGCAATTTGATAGGGAAAATTCTTCAAACAGAGAAAAATCCAAATATTTTGGCCGATTCTAATCAGGTAGAGAATTTTCTTGGTTGGTTTGTTCGCTGATATATACCATTATTTTGATCCAAGTTGTGTTTGTGGAATAACGTTTAATCACATTGATATCAACATGAGAAGAGAAGGGCACATCTTAAAATTAGCGTAGATTCAATGTCTATTATATATAAAAAAACAATTTGCATGGATTCTGTGTTTCCTTAATGTTAGTGATTGAAATGAAAAAGTAACATTCTTGGTAGATGTACTTTATTACATGAAAACCAAATAAATCTATGAAAGCTTAAAGATAATGTAAACATTTTCTTGTTTTTGTAGCCAACGCTTCCTGCTGTTGGAAAACGGGCACCGCGGGTATGTAACTTAGGACATACTACACGAATCTCTAATAAGATTCTTCAGATGGGGAACAGTCAAAGTTGTATTCGGGCATATCTTCTGGTATGTATGGATTAATTTAGTTTCTCCACTATTCTGGGAATCATTACAGCCTTACTCAATATGATGTGTATTTTTTTTTCATACAACAGCATCGTTATTTTCTGGATGATTACAATTTGTAATTAACCATTTTCCTTTCCCTGTACCGCTAATATGTTTTTCTTAATCATTTCCTGGATATTGTTATAGAAATTGCTGGTTGGGAATCAAAGAGCGATGCTCTACTACTTTCTTGTCAAGGAGTTATGCCTTATTGATTCTCAAACCTGCCATACTTAGAAATCCACCGGATGAATTTGATTCCCACGAGAATTTTACACCCTCACAGGGGAAATTCAGTGTCTTATCTTTCCTCAAAATTATAAAATTTAGGAAGTATATGCTGATCTGGAAGCTCTGGTAAACGGTTAGAATTTAGAAACGTAGGTTACTCTGTCCCAATATTGGGTCATGCATTGTTGGAGAACGTAATTGTTCTGATTTTACTCGATTAACCTCTGGAATCTGAAGGGATCAACGTACACATTCCACACTATGATTTCCAGGTTCAGGTTATGGTTGAGTATAACTGACATTGTCCTGATTGTAATTAACTTGGAGGAATATTTAATATTGTAGAAGGTCAAAATATCACGTCTAGCCTAAATTCCAGACTGAGGTACTATGAGATTGAGGGTAGTTTTTTGGTGCTATTTAGAGAGAGGCATGGGCCTGTAATTCACTATTAACTCATTTTAAATCATGTCCTTGCTCGGTAGCTTCCATGCTCCATATGCATTGGTAACTGGAACTTCTTTTTACCAATTCTGTTTGTACAACTTTCTAGTCATAACCTTCTCTGGCTGGGTTGACTCGACTGTAACTTCTTTGCAGGAAAATACTGAATGGAATGAGTGGCAAGCTACGACTTTGCATGACCGCAATTTGGTTGAAAATGTCTATCGGTGGGCTTGTGGGTATGTTTTAGCATATGCCTTTATCGTATTTATATTCATGAGAAAAGAATAATTTCTTCAGAATCAGGATTTTTGTATATCTGAAACAGACTTGTCCCTGTTATTTTTCCATAAGCTCCAAAACACGCAGTTATATGAAAGTTATTTATTGCAGAATGTACTTTTGATTTAATATTTTCACTTTTAAGTATATATCAATAGAAGATTGAAGTATTTTTTTCTTTGCTTTAGTGCTTTGTAACTTCAAAGTATGTCTCTTCCTTTTCTCCTCTATTTTGTTTCTTTCTATTTTTATTTTTTTGTCTCTTGGGGTCATGTTATGTTCGATTCTTTTCTATATTAGGGCAGAGTAAGTATTTGATTCTTTGAATTCATTTGATGTAAAACTTATTTCCCAAAAGACCGTTTTACCTTTTAATTTTATATAGCGCTCTTCTCAGTGATAAGCTTTTGATCTCTCGGACTGTTGGATTTCTCAACAATTCTTCTCTGAATTTTCAGTCGCCCAACTGCATTGCAAGACAAGACTAGAGATAGTGATGATGATGACCTTCATGATAGAGATTATGATGTGGCAGCATTAGCAAATAATTTAAACCAGGCTTTTAGATATAAATCGTATGGGAATATTGGTACTGTGGAGGTATACAACATGCACAAATATTAGTCAGGCTTCTATTATTTATATTCTTCTTATGGAAGAGTTATTTTCGTATTTTTTGTGGAGGAGAGATTGAAGATGGGAGTTACTTATGTACTCTTTGTTTTTGTTGCAGGACCCTAGATCTCTTGCTCAAGATGATGAGGTAATAATGTTGTTTTAGTTGAGGGGGCTTTGAGTTTATGGTTAGTGTGTGAAGTTGGTTTTTGGTTAGACACTGGCGTAATTTTAATGAGGGTCTTCTTTGAGAATATGGTGTATAAGCTAGGTGGCTGGTGGAGGCCATCCTTTTCATTTCCTTGTTTAATTTTCCTCAATTCTCACTGAGCTGCTGTCTTTTGAGTACAGGATGTCTATTTTGATGATGAATCTGCTGAGGTAGTTATATCATCCCTTAGGCTTGGTGATGATCAAGGAAGGTGAGTTTTAAATTATCTTGCGTTCATTGAAGAAACGTTACATTGATAAACCAGAAAAAAGCAGTCCTTTTCTCTATGATCGTACCTTCATATTAGGTTTGGAACTATGTGGCCAATAATCCTTCCAAATTGTGAGAAAATTTCTTAGATGCTTCTTTATTGGATTGTTCCACTTCATAAAAATGACTTTTGGGAATAAAATGTGCATAGATTAGATGTGACTTCAACTATTGACCTTTTCTGAATTTGCCTGAAAAATGTGTCGCATTGCAGCTTGACTATTTCACTAAAGCCGGGTCTTTATTATGTAGATGATCGGATCGAATTTTGAATGATTTTGTTCTTATACCAATATTCTTGTTGAATCTCCAGGCCTTTTTCCTATGGTTCATTGCCCATTTGTGAGCATATTTACTGATATGCTTGAACACTTAGGATGGGATGTTGGGCGTGAAGAGGAAACTTTTCTTCATTATAATTCATCATGTATTGATTCATATCTTTATAATGGCTGTGAGAAAGTTCATCTAGGAAGTGTATGTGTACTTCTAGTTGTGTCTGCTTCTTATGGGCTGAAATTCTATGTGGAATATATAACCTGCTGTGTTTCATTCTTGCAGCAGTCTATTCACCAACTCTAATTGGTTTGCGTTCCAAGACGAGCGAGTTAACAGTGAAGCTGCAGGCACAGCACCACCTGAGAGGATGGATGAGATTAATCTGAATGGAACTTCTAGTGGTGGTAACAGCAGTAGTGATGATGAGGTGGTGATTGGTGAGGAGGAGTTGACTGTTAGCAAGAATTCTATGGTTGACACTTCCTGTTCCAAGCCGGGGCCTCCTAGTAGATTTCCGGGGGCTGAACCTGGTGGTGATGGAATCTCGAACTCTGGGTTGAATGCATCTAACGATTTGGGATTCTTCAGGTTTGAGACACCAGATACAGAGGATATGTATGGAGATAGGCCTCTGCCTGACTGGGTAGGATGGGGAGAAGCATCAGATTTGCAAGTTGGTGGTTCCAGTTTGAACCCGTTTGAGGATAATGATAAATCTGATATCATTGATGCCTCTCAAATTGAATTTGCAGCACCTAATGTTAATTCTCCAACAAAAGGAGAAGTTTGTCTTCCAAATGGCTCTCCAACTACAACAGGCTCAAGCGATGGATCAGAAGGCAGTGATCAAAGTCAGAAAACTACAGCTGTGCCCTCATTGTTCGAAGAAGATGTCGAGTTCGTTGGTGTGGAATTAGAAGGCACTGAGAAGGCTATGGAGCAGGCCCTCAAGGAGGGGATTGTTGGGGAAGCTGGGCCACTTAAGAGGAGCGTTGTCCCTAAGGTGCCAGAGAAGGAGAACTCCGATGAGAATGGGGCTGGAATCAAGGAGTTCAATGATGCAAATTATTGGAGAGTGGATCATGAGGTGGCTGTTTTGGAATGATGCAATCTCCACACTACGTACTCTTAAGCCTGAAAAGGTTGTTTCCGATGATCATGGACACCATTGCGGTTGGCATGAGCATCGGTGCATTGGGTGGACATATGTACAGTATATTTTTGTTTCTATGTGGAGATTGGATGGTAGAATGCGTTGTGGCTGTCACGATTTACCTGTTACTGACTGTTATGCTGATTATTCAAGGTTTCTTTTTGTTTCTGATTCATGGGATTACCCTGATCCATCATACTTCATATTTAATTATAAGAACAACATTCTTGATTCTTATGTCAAAATCTTAACATATTCAAATAGCTGGACGTATTGGCATGGTTCAGATTGACGACTGCTTCCCTTTGTAGTCCTCTGGGTAAAACTGTAGTGATAGCTGTGGTGTCGCCAGGCTGAGAGAGTTGCCTAATAGTGTTCAGGACTTGCAGTCTGCATTCTGACTAAATTGTTTCACTCTATGTAGGCACATCTGTAACCACGAAACTGTTCTTCTTTTTAATGAATTAGATATGCATCCTTCTTATGAATAAAATGAAACATTTTATGGTATGTTTCCCGGTTGGCAAGTTAAACTGGTCGCTATCTGAGCAACCTGCCGTAGCTTTGAAACTGCAATATCTGCCGTCCCCTGCCAGGTTTGTCATTCGTCTCTTCCTTTTATATAATTTTTTATTTCAAATTTATCGATGACAACGTCAACTTGTTTTGATTTTCTTGTTAAATGCTATATGGAGAGCTTATAATCATACAGTTGAGTCCACGCTTTTACGTCATGTATTGGTTTTGTCTGTATTTGCGCTTGGTTCTTGTGCTGCTATGCTGTAATCACATTCATGTCTTGTTTTAATAACTAGTTGTGATATTTGATCTGATCCCAATGCATACACTTCTAAATCCAGTTATGCAATTTAAACATGCTGGTAGATGTACCTCAAATTTGCCTCTAGGGATTTAAGCAAGGCATCATTTCTAACTATAAACCCCCATGCTGTGATATTCTATAGAGGAGTTGGGAATGTTGATCCATCCCGTCGGAATCTCCGACAGAAATGATGGGCAATACCACAGCTGTGTCTCCACCACAGCCTATAACCCCATGAAAGCATATCCCATAGAGATTTTAGGCAAAACACTATGATTAGGATTTTGATAGACGACCCAGAAAAGCACTCACTCAAGCCACCGTCTCTTCATGACGGCAATTACTTTTGTTCATTTTGGATTCCCATTTCCATTTGGCAGGGCATCATTGTCTGTTTCAAATGTGTTTTTCAATCTCTAATCAGCCTGTAGTCGTATTGTGTACATATTTAGTTGTGTCTTTTCTCTACCCATGCAAGTGGGGTTTGACTATGGTGCTAGTTGAGATGAAAATGCTTTCAACTGCCACTATAATTAGATAGAAGAAGTAGAATGGTTTTGATTTTCGAGTTTTGCTTTTGGAAAGAGATAGTAAGTAATAAGATGCAGCTTTCAGAAGTAGATAGATTGAATAGCCTGAAGAACTAAGATAGATACCTAGACGGCCTAAATCACCCGTCATCCAGAGCTGCCATTGTCCCCTAACCAATTGGGCAGGGTCTTCTCTTTTCATCAAATGAGAAGGGTTTTCTTTTTCTGTTTCTCTGAAATTGATTCGATGTAGCAGGCAAGTTGCAGTGTGGTGTGTCCTATTTGTAGGGTTACGGCATATAATAATGGCAGTTCCATTCCTTTTCATGTCAATGTTATTATCATATTCATATGCATGGTCTGCTGTGTTGGGGCCACGCAGGTACGGTTGCCGCCTGCAATGCCTTTTACTTTTGTAAGCTTTTAGTGAACATTTATTCGGTATATGCTACACTAACTACTACTGCTACTACAACAGTTCCTCTCTATTCCTTTTCCTATCAGTAGTAGCCTTTACTTAGGGCACTGTTGCCACTCAAAAAGCCTCTGTTTGTCTTAACTGCATACAGTACAGTACCGTCCCTTTCATTCTAATCTTACTGTATAAGGATGACCTCATGCACAGATGTTCTTCCAGTCTCTATTTCTATGCTTCAACTTAAACCTCTCTTTCATTTTCCTTTTTTTTTTGTTGGATTTTGGTGAATATTTCTAGCTGATCATACCAAACTTTCAAATTTGTGTTTAAACGATCGGAATGAATTTTTCAACTTTCAATTTGTTTCTCATAGGTCTTACGACCTTTAAAATGTTTCAAAATTGAAAATTTTAAAACCCGAGCAATATCTTCAAAAACTAAGGCCTTTTTTATATATATATAAAAAGAAAATGTATAAAGTTAAGAGAGTGAGTGGACATTTAAATGCTTCCCTACATCATAATCACCATGGTGGACTTAGCTTCTAGTTTTTTCATCAAATTTCTTGGAAAATGAATTTTTATTTTAAAAGTTACAAGATATGCTCTTCATAAAATTTAATTTTTTTTTTCTGAAATACTTATTGAGTCTGAATTATTGATATATTGATAAATTAGTATAAGTTAACATAATTGACATATATTTAATTTTATTTCTTGAGATTAAAAATTTTAATGTTTGAGATTTTAGCTCAAAAAACAAAAGTAATCAAATGAATTTGGTCTTTTATCATTTATTATTAATTTTGTAAATAACTGTCTTTCTCTCTCTAACAACGACAAAGCTTTCAATTTCCTGCAAGACCAGACAAAGGTTAACAAGAAGGAAATTATCGTAAGATACGATAGATTGTTTACTTATCGCGAGAAGTTAATAATATCGCGGGGCCCACAAGGATTCAACTTGGGCCAGGGTTAAATTAATTAAATAAATAAATATTGACCAGAGGATCTGGTCCGTACACGTAAGCGCTCAGATTGCGTACACGTCACGCGCCGCGTGTGTTTTGAAAAAATTTTGTTCGTTAGGAGTATGATGTGGACGCATGCAACAAAAAAAAAAAAAAACCACCGCACGGGTGGGCATAGACGCCACGTCACGAAATCTCTGTCGCTTCCTGCCAAATTACCACTTTGCCCATTACACGACAACACACATTTACCCCGTTGACGTGACCATCCACTGCCCAACGGATTCCCACTCATATATATTGCCCGTGACCTTAGACCAACGACTTACACCATTACCCACTCTAATTATTCCTTTTTCTACAAATTTGGAATAATAATTTCATTAATTACTTCTTTACCCCTGTTCGGGTTGTTCGAATAACCTAAAAAATTTGATAAAATCAAATTTTAACACGTATCATTGAGTTATGAAATTATTTGAGCTAAAATTTATTAAAATAAATGAAACGTTTATAAATTGAATTGATTCATGAGTTTTCCTAAAATTAGATTGAAATTAATCGAACCCATTTTAAAATATATGTTTTTTTATTATAATATATTTATTTATTTTTTCTTTCATAATTTTAATTTTAAATATTTATTCAACTTTTTAAAAAATATTTCTTTTTCCAAACCTAAATCAAGTGGTAATTTTTCGTTGAATATTTAAAAATAAATAAATAAATGTTAACCGGCATTTAACATTTATTAAAAATAAATCCAAAAATTTATGATTGAGTTGAATTACTTTTATTATTTAATAAAAAGTATTTTGATTGAAAAATTTACAAACCAAACAGTTGAGTTGGATCTTATTCCAACACAATCACACCTAACCCACAAACACTCGTAATCTCGAAAAAAGGGCAACATTTTTATCATAACGAGATGTTATATTAATTTATTAAAATTTTATAAAGTCTCGAACTTCTAGGCCTCTTGATTGATAGTATGCATGTTTACTAGGAGAACCATAATGGGTGAAAATCGAAATCTAGACCAATGGTACTGAGTCAAAATTAAAAATATAATACTTAAATTAATATGCTAAAAGAAGGAAGTTATTGCGTGGTTACATTAGTATATAATATTAATTCGTGTTATATTATATAATATATAGTTTGTTTGCAATTATACAAGTAGCATTTAAAATAATATACTTTAGGTGGCTTCATTTCAACTTTACATTTTACACGTAGGATAATCCTTTTTTGTATTTATTTTAATGAAAGAAATAAATATTTGTATGTTTTTTGTTTATTTGGGATAAAGGTTGTGGCACGTGTGGTTCTTGGATCACGTGTAAAACACACAAGTTGCTTGATGTTTAAGTAGAGCGGATTGGAAGGAGGATTAGCATGTTGTTGAGATTAATTAATTACATTAATTAAGGATTAGCAGCGGAAATAATACACGAAAATGATTGACCAATTGTCGTGTAACATTGGGATCTTCATAATTATGTTACATTAATATAAGCTAATTAATCAAGATTAAGCTTAATTAATTAATTATGGTGAATGAAAAAGAGGAAGGAGCTGGCACCATCAGACAAGCACAAGCGCCAAAACGGCGACATAAAATGGTGGACGACGCCACGTGAGTGTTGCCCCAATCGCACGTGTGCCTGCCAAATTAAATTATATTAATGTGTTTTTTATTTATTTATTGGGAGTTGCACAAAAGCCCTTCTCTACTTTTAAATTTCAAAACCAACCCCCCAAGACAGAGGGGCCATGGCAATGTTCTCGAAGAATGAGTAGGCTGTAGAAAAAATGTCACCAGGTGCAATAGGCTTGGCTTGGCTTAGCTTAGCTTAAGCTTAGGCTGGACCATGATTTGGTTGCATTTAATTCCTTTGCCCAATCCATGTGCAAAGGTTCCACATTTATGACTCGTTTGGTTATAATAACCCGTTGAAAAGTCTTTCGATCGAAAAGGTAACATAGTTTGTACATCTAACCGAGCAAAATTGTCGGCCAGGTGACCTCTTTGAGTATTATGTTCTCTTTAAAGTTGGGACGTGTAACAGCCCAAACCCTCTGCTAGTAGATAGTTTTTTTTGGACTTTTCCTTTTGTGATTCTCCTCGAGATTTTTAAAACGTGTATGTTAGGGAGAGGTTTCCACACTCTTATAAAGAAAATATAGGATCTCACAATCCACCCCTCTTTAGGGCCTAGCGTCCTCACAACACTCGTTTCCCTCTCCAATCAATGTGGGATCTCACAATCCTCCCCTCGAGCATCCTCGCTGACACTCATTCTCCTCCCCAACTAATGTGAGACTTCACAATCCACCCCTCTTTAGAACTCAGTGTTCTTGCTTGCACTCATTCCTCTCTCCAATCGATGTTGGATCTCAGAATTCTCCCCCCTTCGAGGCCAGTGTTTTCGCTGACACTCATTCTTCTCTCGAACCGATGTGGGATCTCACAATCCACCCCCCTTCAGGACCGAGCATTCTCGCTGATACTTGTTCTCCTTTCCAATCGATGTAGAATCTCACAATCCTCCTTCCTTCAATGCCCAGCGTCCTCGTTGGCACTCATTCTCCTCCCTTCAGGGACCAGCGTTCTCGCTGACACTCGTTCCCCCTCCAATCAATGTAGAATTTCACCGGCAGATCCTCGAGTCATTATCAAGATATAAAGAAAAACATGCATAACATCATAGGCATCAAACTAGATCCAGTTAGACGTTATAGACAGTACTTGCATTTGATGAGACAAACATAGTAAGACAAGAACATGATTGATAAAATGATTGAAAATCCGAGGAAGTGTTTTTCCCAGGAAACAAAGCAGAATTCTGTAGATCATTACACAGTCAGGAAAGGGTAGGCGCAGGCGCTAGGCCAATATGCTTAAGGGACCAGTCTTGTTTGAGGCATCTAGTCGTCCATTCTCACCACTGAGGACGCCATCCATCAATGTCCTACAAAATCATGTTCAACGTTCATCCATTATTTTCTCCAACACACAAATGGCAGCAAGAAATGCATGGGAAGTTCATCCATACCTTCTTCCCATCTTGTCGGAACCCGATTCGTCTGTTAAAATCGTTAATCTTCGAGCTGTTTTGATGAAATCACTGAAGCCACAAGGAAGAACAGTTGATATAAGTTGATAGCAATGCAAGTGAAGATGGTATCAAACTACCAGAATTGTTGATACCTGAATGGTTTGTCTCCAGCTTGTTTCACAGCACCTGTTGCATCTTGATACAAGACATGGCTAAGAATGTCTGGTTTTTCCATTCCAAACATGTAGGCTAGCCTCCTGTATAGTTCTTCGTACGAGCTGATGACTGAAAGGTTGAGCGTTCGACCCACGTCTTCCGACTCCATGAATACCTTGCAGTGACCGATGTCTAGGCCGAGTTCGGTGTCTGACTTGTTTGGAGAAACTTGATGAATGTCACTAGAAGAGCTGCAACAGATTTGCTGTTCAGTAAGTATAGGTTGACCAAAAAGTAAAAACTGATGCTTCTTCTTCACCGAATCGGATCGTTCCAATTTCGGACCGGTCTTTTCCCCGTTAAGCAATGCCGATGAGCTCCGAGTATGGTCTGTATTGGAAATTCTAGAGTGAAAATGAAGCTGCTGAAAACTGGATGGAACCAGCCCCAATTGCAGTTTGTTGTTGAGATGGAAATCTGATAAAGATATTCCAAAGTGAGTATGCCTGGCTCCCTGTATGCCTACAGAAGTGTTATCAGATAAACAACACATGGGACTGCTTGGCCTAAGGGTATTGCTCGAAAACGATGACGACGATGACGACAGCGGGAATTGGCTGTCGAGAGGAATGTCTGGGATCTGTGGCAGTCGAAACTTCTTTCTCGGCGACGAGAATGGTGATAGTTGAATGACGGGCATGTTCGATACGAGCTCGACCAACCATGGGCTAACCCGCTTCACATTTTGTAGCAAATCTGGCTCATCCCATGTCACCTGAAGAATCATAAACCAAAAATTCAAGAACGATCATAAACCAATGTTTTCAAGATGAAGAAATGAACTTCAAGGAGACCTGGAGGAGCCGCCATGGAGAATTAGGCCAGCGGATTGGGTCAGCTACTTGAACAGAGGAAGTGGTTCCCATGAACCAACTGATCCGAGAAGAATCCTCTGTTTCAAATGGCATTTTGAATCTCATACCAGAGCACCATTGGATCCTCATGGCAGCTCGCACCGATGAAGCCTTGACACAGAACTCCGGCGTGCTGGCACGAGGGTAATAAACCACCTCAAATGGCTGCCCACTCGCCGCAAGCGCCGCTGCTTCGATCACTGATTCCGGCCTTACTTTGCCTTTTCCCCTCAAATTCCCACCGCCACCACTGGAACTTACAGACCCTTTTCTACTCAACTTGTTGTTGTCTTCGTCTCTCAGAAACATCGTCAATCCACCACATGGTGGGAAACAATTTCCACCGCCGGGATTCCAGCCATATGGGTGATCGGCGGCACACCCAATTGCCCGTTTGGCTCGCCGGATCCCGACGCAGAGGTCGCCATGTTTGGATCTTAGAAAAACAATAGAATCGCCGGCGACGAGTTTTTTCTGATTCACAAAACTACTCCACCCAGTAGTTAATAAATGCCGGCGAGGTGTTCCCCTGTAAATATGCCGGAACTTCCAAACCACACCGTGAACATCCATAGCAATCACCGTCTGAACCGGCGGATCCGCCGTATAATCCAGTCGCGGAAATATCGTCTCCGCACAGTATCTCGGAACCGAGAATCCACCGCCGTTGTTAGCATCGGATTGGGTCAACGTCTTGGCAAAGGAAGCCGGCTTCTCCATGTTATTATCCGACCCATTACCCCCAAAACCACCCTCTTCCTCGAAATTGAGGTCGTTGTTCGCCAGTGGAACCAAACTTACATTGGCAAAAACTTCATCCGTTTCAGGGTCAGCCAAGAACTTAACGGCGAGCACTCGACAAAGAATAAGAGGCGGGATTCTGAGTGAGGAGGTGAAATCGACGGTGGCCTGAGCGTGCTCGGCGTGGCCCTGAGGGAAGTAGAAAACCTTGGAGTTAATTGCAGGCATCTGGACCATGCCTCCCGCACAGGCATGCCATAGTTGAGGATCTAAGCTTTTCTCTGCTTCTTTCATTTGAATGCCTGAGAAAGGGGAAAAACAGAGAAAACGAATGAGAAACAGAGCTTTTCAAAGCAAAACGACATTATACATTCTGGGTGTTAAATTTCAGAGCTGGCGAAAGAGACTAGAGGAATTAAAGTTAATGAACACAACAGAGAAGGAACAGAATCGGGATTCAATGTTACCTTAAAATCGCCGAAAATACAGCTTCCTTGATTGAAAAGAACGAACAGATTCGCCTATTCGAAGAGTAGCAGAAGAAAAAGAAGAACAGGGGAAGAGCTCAGAGTCTGAATGCGATAATCAAACCCAAAACGCTCAGATTCAGCGTGTTCAGCAGCATAATCAAAATACAACCCAGAAAATGAAATTTCAAAACAAACCCAGATGGAAGAACAGGAAGAAGAAAAGACCCATCCACAGTTCTTGCCGTTAAAGCATTCGAGAGATGCAGTGAAATCGAGGGCGGCGGAAGCGTTGGTTCGTGAAAAAGAAAAGAAACTGAATGGGTAAAGATTGAATGAAGGATGATGATCCGGCGGCGATCTGTGGAATTGAAGGTTGCTGAAATGAGTTTAGATCCCAAATAGTGAGGGGTCTCTCAGGGTTGGAGGAAACGAACAAAATAACCAAACAAACAAAGTGAAAGAAAACAGAGGAAGGAGGAGGAAGGAGGCTCTTTGTTGGATTCGTTTCCTTTCGTATCGCGCGATTACAAGAGAAACGCCACAGTGAATCAACAAGTACGAGACAATTACTGTTTTACCCGCTTCATTTAACCTTTTTTATTTTTATTTTTTTTACTCATAAATTAAAATAATAATCCTCCATGTTTTATGTTACAGTATAGTAGTGACAATCTTATTGAATAATTTTTTTTTATTTATATGTTAATTATAATATAGTTTAATGAACCCGAAAAACTAAAAATATGTATTTTTTTTTTTAGTTTATTGCTCTATATTTGAACTTTGACCTCGAGGATTCTTTTTTGAGTTTATTCTTCTTTACGTTCTTGTGGTGCGTGTGCCCCACCTCATCTATTTTCTCTACGCGCTCTCTGTCTCGATAATTCCATTTATTTCCTTTTTTGTTTTTTTACCCGTTTTAATCATACTTTCAAATATGTCATATTATTTTTTTTAGGAAATTTTCAATATTAATTATGAATTATAAATTATAGAATTGTTGTGTTACAATTAGGTCTTCGAGTTTTCGAGTTCACCAATCAATTTTTTAATATATAAAATTTTTCTATTTAATATTGAAATAGTGAAAATTTTAGATGCAATTTTGATAATGCTACTCTAAATTTATAAAATTTAATAGAGACAACTTAGATTAGCCTTAAACTTGTCTAATAACATCCCAACAAACATTTGACTATTTGAGATTTAAATTTATTTCCTCGAGTAAACCCAAGCGGCTCCTATAGACGGTAACCATTCGAGCTTAGATTAGTTCTAAAAACATCGTTTTCAAACACGTTAAGCCGACCTCTAGAGTCTTGGGTTGACCATTTGAGAGGCAAACTCTCAAAGGGTCGACCAAATGGCTTTGGGTTGAGCTGACCCCAACCTTTAATGCTTCCATCCGAATAGGTCTTAATCATTCGAGCCCTCGATTGCCTACTAGGCCTTGGGGCGTTGAATCTTGCATGGGGTATCCAATCTTCTCAACTTGAGTTTTTATCTAAATTTACGAGACTAAATTGTATCTCAACAAATATTTAGATAAGTTGATAATTTTTATAAGAATTAAAATTAAAATTTTAAATAAGAAAAGAAATTAAATTGAAGAGTCTATTAAGCCTATTTAAGTGGTGCATTTCTAATTTTTGCATTATATTAATTACTTTAAGTATATTATAAAGTGAAAAAAAAAGAAAAAAAAAAGAAATGAGTTCTTGTTACTCCTATTAATATATGTTTTTTCTTTCTTTTTTTGGGTGCATTTATGGGTTTCCTTTTGTTTGTCTCAAAAAAAAAAAAAAAAAAAAAAAAAAAAAAAAAAAAAAAAAAAAAAAAAAAAAAAAAAAAAAAAAAAAGTGAAAATTTGATTGGAAATTTTTACTATTCTTGTGTATTATATGCACTATTTAATTTTAACAATTATTTTAAAATTAACTTTTTATCAATATATTGATTATTTTAGAATTTTACAAATACTGTATTTTGTAATTTTAATTTTGTAAAGTTTCAATGATATTTTCAATAAACTAAAAAAAATGGCTAAAATATGGCAGAGGTAGTTACGTATAGTCGTCGTGAGATCTCACAATCCATCTCCTTTAGAGGTTAGCTTCCTCGATAGCACACTCCTTCAGTATCCAGCTCTGATATTATTTGTAATAGTCCAAGCACATCGCTATAATATATTGTTTGTTTTGGCATGTTACGAATCGTCGTTAGCCTCACAATTTTGGTGTCTTGCTCTGATACATTTGTAATAACTCAAGTTCACTGTTAGTAGATATTGTCTGCTCTAGCCCATTACGTATAATCATCAAATGGTCACGATTCACCCCCTTGGGAGCCAACGTCAACTAGGGAGAAGTTTTCACATCATTATAACGTTAGATCTCACAATCCACCCCCTTGGGAGCCAGTGTCCTTGCTAACACACCATTCCGTGTTTATCTCTAAATTAGTAGATATTGTCTGCTCTAGCCCATTACGTATAATCATCAACATCATAATTTTAAAACGCGTGAATGCGGCGTTTTCGTCTCTAACCAATGTGGTATCTCATAGTATTACACCATAACATATTATCGCACAAAATAGTTTATTAGATGAAGTTAGGAAGCCCTCCAACATTTGATGTAACCCACTAAAAGAAGACAAGATAGGGACAGGGAAGCAAGGTAAGAAGGTGAGTTTATGCAAAGCAATTGGGGAAGTAACAGCAATTAAAGAAGGGAAGGCAGGCGTTTTGGGGAACATGGGATGATACGACGACACCGACAGGCTTTGCGACAGAACAAATTCATGGCCATTAACGCTGTTTGGGATGGGATGGGATGGGATCTGGGAAGAAGGGCTAAAGAAGGAGCTGAAGCTTGCATGCAGCTGCCTGCTGCAGAGAGAGTGTTGGGTGAAGTAGCAACGTCATTACCGACATGTCGCATCACAGCAAGGAATTCGACAAACTTCTTCACAACTATTGCTCAATCCTTGTCTTGTCATCAAAACAGATGATGATGTGGCGCACAACAAACAACCAGTTTTTGGATTTTTATTTTACAAAAAGTAGAAAATTCCATTTAAATTATACCCTGAGAAAATAATGCCTTTTGTATTCCATTGGTATTTTTTCAATTTAAACCGCCTTAAATAAATAATGAACTAAACTCAACTTATGGATTTATTTGAATTCAATCCGAGGATCGAATCATGAAAAAAGTATTAAAAAAAAAAAAACATTTAATTACAGATGAAGAAAAAAGAAAAAACAGAGTCCACAGGTTGAATTGGGCCTAACTAAATTTGCGTGGCCCGCCTACGCCGACAGCTTTACAGACAGCCCTGCAGCTTCCACGCCACTGCCAACCCACGTGATCCAATATTCCCATTCCCATTCCAATTCCACGCTCCTCATCACCCCATACACACAAATTTGGGCGTTATCAATTTTTACACCAAATCACTTTAGCAATACTCAACGCCTCGTTCAACTTCTCCATTTCTATTCATTACATTTACAGAAGCACATTTTTTCTCACGTTTCTATATTGAATATGAAAGAGATCGATAACTAAGATTAAAACAAACGATTTGAAATGAATCTAAACATGACTGAGTATGAACACATGTGAATGAGTACCAAAATGGGGTATTTATTCAAAGAATTTTAAACCATATAAAGATGAACTCCCTGCATATCCCATTTACTTGAATTAAACCACAGAATCCTTGCTTGATTTCTTCACTTCATGGCTTTCTTTATCTCCATAAACTCCTGCTAGAAGAGCTGCTGTTTCCTTGTCTTTTATCTGAAACAAAACCAACCCAGTTCATCAAAATACACTTTTGGAGAACTTTTTAAAACTTTCAAGGCCTTTGGTTAGTGTTTTTTTCAAAGAAAAACAAGAACTTGGAGGTACCTGAGAAGATCCTAGACAGAGGTCACCCTGCTTCTTTTTACTCTCTTGGGTACAAAAATATGAATACAATCCCATCCCACCAATGGCTATTAAAATTCCAATGAGGTTTCTCTCAGTGAAAGGATCGTGAAGGAGAGTATACCCAAAGCCAAGAACAAGGCATGTCTTGAGGTGGCCAAGCACCTGATATGTCACTGGCGACGTCTTTCCGATCACCAGAAATGTGCTGAAGTTGACGGAGACAGATATCAGACATGAAAGGATGATAAAAGCCTGCAGGTTCAATACCACACTCATTTTTCTGTGTCATGAAAGAAGAGTGTAATGAAAGCAGTGGACAGTGACAAACCAGAACTACAGGAGAATACTTGTAGGCAAACACGTTCTTGTTGGTGAGACATTGGTCTAAGAAAGGGCCAGACACGAACAGAATGGCTGCTTGAAATGGAGCTGACTGATACAGCAGCTGTGTTGAAGATACACTCAGTCTCTTTTGAATAGTGTTTGTTAGCTGTTTTAGACATCAAGTTAAGGGGAAAAACTAACATGAAATGGAAGCTTATGAAGATAGAAATGGAAAAGAGTACGAGGAGAATGGATTGTAACAGCCCAAGTTCACCGCTAGTAGATATTGTTTGTTTTGGCTGTTACGTATCGTCGTCAGTCTCACAGTTTTAAAACGCATCTATTAGGGAGAGTTTTCTACACTCTTATAAGAAATGTTTCGTTCCCCTTTTCAACCAATGTGGGATCTCATAATCCACCTCTTTAGGGCCCAGCGTCCTCGCTGGCACATCGCTCGGTGTTTGGCTCTGATACCATTAGTAACAGTCAAGCCCACCGCTAGCAGATATTGTCCATTTTAGCTCGTTACGTATCGCCGTCAGTTTCATGGTTTTGAAACGCGTATGTTAAGGAGAGGTTTCCACACTCTTATAAGAAATGTTTCGTTTCCCTCTTCAACCAATGTGAGATCTCACAATCCAACCCCTTAGAGCCCAGCGTCCTCACTAGCACACTGCTCAGTGTCTCACTCTGATACTATTTGTAACAGTCAAGCCCACCACTAGTAGATATTGTCCACTTTGACCTATTACATATCGCCATCAACCTCACGGATTTAAAACGTGTCTTTAAGAAAAAGGGTTCTACACCCTTATAAGAAATGCTTCTCCTCTCTAACCAATGTAGGATCTCAAAAGGATACAATTTGGCCCACGCATGTTGTCATGATAGCCAAGAGAGAAAGAACAGTTCCCATAAGATTGAGCTGAAGATCAGTGACAGAGGCAATGCCAACTCCAACCAGCAAGAGGAAGAGAGAGAGCCTAATCCTTGAGCTACAACAAGAATCCAAGTGAGAAATTAGCCCTTCTTTGTGATTATGCAGAGGAGAAAAAGTTAGTACCTGAATTGCTTGTTAAGGAAAATAGTCTCTAACATAACAGTGAACGGTATGATTGCAAGTTTTGTCATCTGCAGAGGAAAACAAGAACACACACAATATGTCAGCTTGGCAGAAGAGAAGAATCCAAAGAAATCATAATCAAACTCAACCTGGTAGAATCCAACAGAATTGAATCCTAAGCTCAAGTTGAGAAACCCAATGGAGATACCATTAAGCATCCCAAAGAGCACAACAGTCTTCGTGTCGATGGGTTTGGACTCGAACAAGTTTAAGCGATGAGCCACGTGAAGGGTGCAATATGTGACCATCAAATGCCAACTAGTCAAAGTAGTTGCTGCCACAAACAAAAGTGTCAATTTGAACAAAACTCAACTAATGAAGAAAGAAAGAGATTACACCGACATGACAGTTAATGTGATAGATAATAACATGAAAAGGGAAAAAGTACGTACCGAAAGGGAAGCCGAGGTTGCTCATGAGAGCTTTGTTACAGATAACAATGGAGACAGAAGAAGCTACTGATAGGAAGAGTGCTCCAATGACACCCAATTGGAAGCTTGAGATTTCTCCCATTTGTGATGAAAATGGTTGAAAGAAACAAAGAAGCAAACAATCAAAGAACAAACAAGTCTGCGTTGAAGATCTGAGAGGTGCTAGAAGTTCATTGAATATGCGTTTATGGGCGACAAGTTTAGATTGTCACAGAGAGATGGAAAGCTTGAAGAAGAATTATAGGATTATGGTGGGTTATATTTTTGGTGGGAAATGAAAGGTTGGTTGGTGCCTACCGTTTAAAGAATGAAGATTCCATTAAATTAATTTTGGTTTTCAGATGGCGGAGTTTGGAGAAGGCCTCCTTATGATTTGACTCCCACTGCAAGCAAAGCCTCAACCTCAACCTCAACCTCAAGGCCTCCATTTTCAAACTATTCTGAAATGACTAACACACCCCTCACCTCAAGAGATTTGACTTTACATTACACTCAATTTCTTTCCTTTCTTCATTCATTTATATCCACCACCACTGTAAATCCTTTTTTTTTTTACCATTTTTCACCGAACATAGGCTGTGTTGTTGGGAATCGAGATGAGATGCGACATTACATCTGAAGGACTTTGGCCTAAAGTAGAGGCAAGGTCAAGCTGGAAGACTTAGCCTAGAGTAGGGATGAGTCGGCTAGAATAGCAAGCAAATAAGCATGCATGCACGAGCATGTATGACTAAATAAACTTAGTTTTCGCATGAATTGTGTTCAGTTAGCAAAGTCAGCGAGGTTCTCTATAGCCGAATACAACTTTTTAATATTGAGTCTTAGTAGACAAGGAAGGATGGTGAACTGAACATTCACTTGTGGAAGAGAGAGAGAGAGAGAGAGAGAGAAAGAGATAGGTGTCTAGAAATGCAAGCAAAAGGAGTTTGGGTTTTCTGGAAACTCCATTATTGTTAGGTGAGGACCTTGGATCTTACTCCAAAGCTAATTCCTTTCAATATCTCCCACCATACATAGCATTGTTAAGCCTCTAAGGAAGGGTGCTCTTATTTTGGTTTCAAGCTCAGTTATTGAATCCCACACAGAATTAAACCCAAAAGGGATCCAAAATTTGACATCTTATCTAACTCTTTCAAGAAAATAACCTATCTTTCTTATTACATACCGAGGCCGGATTGCTTATTTCCATAATCTGTGAAAGATCGCAAGTAATACATACATACAATATTTGCTCCAATAAAAGAACACAGTGAAAGCCAAGACATAATTTCACAAGTGGTCCACTAAATCCACGTGAATTATGGCGAAAAACTTGGATTATTTTAATTAGATATCATTCGACTTGACATCAATCGTCATCTCTGGTGGTAGATTACTATTCTACTTTAGAATCTCACCAGGATTTGTGACATTCCAACTAAAATGAAACGATGAAGGAAAAAAAAACTGTTAAAATCCATACCGAACTCAAACCAATCACATTTTGAGTATAACTCAATAGGTAGGATACCAATTACTATCCCTAAAGTTAGATAGCAACAGTTCAAAAGGGATGTATCATATTCATATTACTTCGTTCCTAAAACAACTCAGGTATTTTGGCTCCCGTTCTGAAGTCTACTTTTGGTATACTGCCCTATCAGCCCAACATGACACACTATACAGAATGAAACCAGGAAAACGACTGTGGCTGTGTATTGCGCTTTTATATGAATTATTTCTATCAGTAAACAAAATGAAAAATTCTACAACAAATGTATCAGAGAGATATCTCGCTCAAGGACCCATCAAATAAGCCCTCAAGGTAAGAAGAGGACATGTACATAATCACCGTGACAACTCCAACAGAAGGGTGGTCCCTTCTATAAATGTTTTGTCTTATTAATCTGATCGAGATATGCTTTGTCAGCATTCACAAGCCGAGACTGAAACTCAGCCCATTCAGTTCTGCACCTTGCTCTCACCTACAGGATCAAGCGAGGAACAGAAGCAACTTCAGTTGGTCTTTTGGAACAACCAACAATATATTAGAGATCATCATGCATAGAAAAGAAGAAATTATCATTGATATTTACCCCTTGCCATGGAGCCTTCCCGTTCTCAGAATAGCCCTGAAAGTAAATAGATAAATAAGTATAAAATACCAAATCTTGGAAAATCTTTCAAAAGATTAATACGTTAAAAGGGTAAAGTAACGAAAAATAAAGAAACAGACAATAACACATAATTTGAGTGTCTGCATCTGCATGCACACCCTCATGTGCAGTCAGAGAAATGAAATCGAACGGAATGGAGTTCATTCAGAATTAATAGAATGCAGAAACATCTCACCTGATTCCCAAGAGAAGGGATTACTTGATGAATAATCCACTGCGAATCAACTACGCCAATTTTCTCATGTGCCGGCTGCGGGAACCCATCAAAAGAAAAGAGTTGGTCTCATACTATCTTTGATATTCACATGGGTCGTACACTTCAATTTAGGTTATACATATTTAAGGTGATTTAAAAGTGAAACTTAGGTTGACAGCTGAATTTTCAAGTCAATAAAGCTGGAAAAAAACAGATTAAATCACATAATATATATAAGACAGACGAAAGGCTCACAAAAAGAATAATATCAGAGGAGAACTACTGACCTCTACACATCTTCTGAGAGCAAAGTCGAGCCCCCATCCATGTACCAAATCATTCTACAAGTAAACTTAACTACTTAGATAAGATGTGGCTAGGAATAAAAAATACTTGAGGTCGCACATATATGCAAGTTTATATTGAGCAACCCTATCTTCTTATGTAGTTAAGTATACCTGAATCATATGCCAAACACATCTCCAAGCTTCACGAGAAAAAACAGGAGCCATAATTTCTACAAACCTGTAACATATGAAACTAGTGAACAAAACTTGCAAGGATACCATGGATACCATATGCCTAGATTGACACCAGTCAGTAATTCTAAACTCTATTCACTAGACTTCATGAAAGAAGAGATTTCAAATCCGTAGAGAAACATCCGGAGATGAGCTACTTTTAAGTTCACCCTCAAAGTTCTCTGTTAAATATCCAACTAAGAGAGAAACATAGTTGTGTAAGAGAAGAATTACGCAGCACAAGGAGGCAAGTAAGGGTCACTACACCAGCCCGCTTTCTCTTCCGTCTCCCTATTTCACCATCGAAAATGTGCATGTCAGAATCCAATGTAAACATGAAAAGTGAGAACCTAATATACCACCCAAAAGTAAAAAGCAAAAACGAAAAGAGCTTACTTATGAACCTCTCTGTCACCTCTCCTCTTTGTCATTTGCCATGTCAGTCCATTATTAGGCTCAAGTCCAGGTTGGGATATTTCCAAACCATGTTTTTTCACTAACTCAATATACCTTATTGTTCAATCAATAAGAGAAAGCTATTACAAATAGCATCGGACCATTGAACCAAACATCACAAGCAGGATAAAAGAAAAATATGCTTACTTCTCCGCATTGAAATGCTCAACTCCAAGGTCCTCATCCCATATAAAAATATAATCATATGCAGCTACAACATCAGGATGCAAGAACCTTTTTGCGTACCACCTCAAGTGCAAAAGAAAGAAATAAGAAAACCAAAAATTGAATCTTCTTCTTAAATATGCGTTCTGAATGCAAGACAAGAATCAGGCTCCAATTGCAACAGAAATTATACAGGATGAAATAACCCAAATCATACAAAATACCAACACATCTACCATTTTGTTTGTTTCTTGACACTGACATGGATTGCATTCCTTGACCACTCAAACTGATCCCACTCAGTAGTCCGACCGTCATAATGGAAAAGCACAATTGTAAAATCATCAGAGAACTGATACAACGAGAGAAAACATGAGCCTCAACAACATTGTAATTTGTATAAACAATTTGAATAATACTCCATATACATGACCTTTTTCACTGCTGCATCAATATTTTTTCTCTGATCAAGGCCCACGGTGAATGTAACCAAGTACTTGGGTTTTTTATTTAGATCCTGCACAATTAAGGGCTTTCAGTATAGGCTTAAATCCCTTCCACGTGCAGTTAAAATGTGATATGGATGTTTTTTTATTATTATTAAAAAAAAAAAACAGCAAGTCAGGCTCTATCGGATCCTCAAAATCTAAAATAAGATGCAGAAATAGATTGAACAAAAGGGTGGCTATTTCTAATCAACAAAAAACTCCAATGCCCCCCATCCCTCGAAAAACACGTGAATTTAGGGAGATTGATAGACTTCTGAAGTGGAAAGCAACAAGTTATATACGTTGGCAAATGGTACTGTTCATAATGAAATTAGAACTCTAAATTGTTTTAAGAGAGTGCCACTTCAACATAAAGAAGGAACGCCAAAATAATTAGAACTTATTCCAAGATCGTTCTCAAAATAATAACTCAAGATCCCCCAGAACAGTAATAATTTGCTTAGATAGTAAGATATACATACATCACTATCATATATACCTCACTGGGTTCACCCCATAATCGACGTAAATAAAAATCAGATTCTGCTGCAACAATTCCAGGAGGTAATGCCTCTGCACCACGAGGATTTGTTGGCGCATATATCTGGTAGATTAAAGAAAATTAGAGATATTGGCATTTTATTATGAACCATGACAATCGTATTTGGATGTCAAACTTTTGAGTCAATACATCAATAAATAGAATAAAAAAAAAGTCTGAATGTATGTTAGTTTTTTGCCTACAGAATAATTTCGGAATTCAACAATAATACCTTGGGAGTTTTGGGTGATCCACGAGTCTCAGTTAAATTGGTTCTAGGGGATCTTTGCACGTCAATGGCTATATCAAGAGATGACATAAGGCTTGAAGGTAAGTTAATCTGTAAATATTGAAAATGTATCAAATGGATGTAGGCATAAGGTGCTGCAAGTAACATTCTGAAGAAGCATAACATACCTTCGTTAGCGACACTGTAGGAAATGAAGCACCCAGAAAAAATCCAAAGACCACTCCCACTAACGTTGTGGATATAATCATTGCACTGTCATTTGTTTTTCTAGTTCCTCCTCTGTGAAGATAATATGAAGGGCATTAGGCCACATAAATTAGAACGGCAGAAAGGACTAACAGAAAAATGACAAGGAAAAGAACACATAAGTACCGGTGGACGCTTCCCATAGTTGAAACGAAATCTCAAGTATACCAACTTAAAAGTTTCGATCTCTGCGATTATGATCAATTCTTGAAGCGACTTGTAAATGCAAAGACGAATTTCCAAGACAGTGAAACTCCAATCCACACAAAGTCGAAAAGCACTGGAAGTTTAAACGAAAGAGAGTGGAGTTACGAGGATTGCCGTCGGTCAGGTTCATCCATACGTACTAGGACGAACTTCGCAATCGTTCTCCCGAAGCTCTCGAGAGAGAATAAGAAGAAGAAGAGAGATTCAGAAGAAAACCAAGCAGTGGAGCAGGACAAATATGAATAGACGCATATAATAACCGACATTAATGGCGAAAGAAACTTAAAATCACAATGTATCATTGTTCAATAAAGTCGAAAAATCGCATTAACTCTAGAAACCTCAGATATTCGAATCCGAAAGATGTACAAAACGACAAGTGATCTAGTAATACCGTCAACATTAACAAATGCAACGTAAACGCAATTAGAAACCAAATCGCAGAAACGAAACGAAGAACAATAAACAAAAACAGTAGAAATTAAGAGAGAAAACAATAGAAATCTAAAGATTAGAGCGGTACCGGAAATGTGAATCGCGAAAAGGATTGCACCTGCCGGCGGGTTAGTGATGATTCACCAGTTTTACTCTTGGATTGGTTTGATTAGAGTGACAAAATTAGCTTCCCCCTTGAATTTCATCGAGAAATCGTAAATCTACGCAGCGTTTCTCTGATGGCTCCCGCGAATCTGCATGCCGCGTGATCGAGACCGGAGCAATCCACGATTTGGACGTGTCTTCGTTAGAAAATTATGATTCAAAATGGGACATTTTAGCTGCATCTAAAATTGAGGTACTTTTTTCTATTTAACAAAAACTATGGGTTTTCTTAAATTCCTTCCTTTTTCTCTCTATTATTTTCTATTTCTTCTTTATTTTATTTTCTTTTTACAACTATTTTTAAATTAACTTTATAATTATTAACAATACATTAAACTTAACTAGGATAATAATGTTAATATATCAAATTATTCTATTATTATAAATAAATATGGTAATATATATTAATATAATAAATTATTTATTTAAATTGTTAATTCATATTTTATTAAATATATTAATTAATTAACTAAGATAAGTTAATTAATTAACTTCTGTTCCTCAAAGGACATAGATTTTTGTTTCAATATCTGTCAAAAGATAGTTTCTTAGTTAATTACTAATAAAATAATTTATAAATAGGGAATTGGGAGAGCACACCATCCCAAAAGAGGAAATCTTTCCGACCAACAAAATAATAATAATAATAATAATCTCGTAAATCTTAAATATCAAACAATTATAAGTCACGATGTATCACTAATATTGATAGCAAACGCTAAAGGTTCTTAACTTTATAATAATTACATCAAAAATTTTTTGTCTTTATTGGACTTTCCCTTACAGGCTTTCCCTCAAGATTTTAAGATAGCACACACATGAGATCTCACAATTCACTTTTTTATGATTTAGCATCCTCACTAGGTGACTCTGATACCATTTCCGATAGTAGGTATTGTTCTTTTTAGGCTCTCCCTCTGATTTCCCCTCAAGGTTTTAAAACCAGAGTTTTCACACCCTTATAAGTAATGTTTTGTCCTCTTCTGCAACCGATGTGAGATCTCACAATAAGGCAGCGTAAAATAGGGTTTTAAAACTATTTGCAATACAAATATATTCAATTTTTTTTTATTATAAAAAAATTCAACCAAACCCAAACCGAAAAACAACGAACCCAACTTTTAAAGTTTGAGTTGGATAATTTAGATTAGTCGAGTTATTGAGCCATTTGGTCTCTAATTCGAGAAAAGCAAAAGCTGAAGAGATTTATAGAAACGTGGAGAAAGAAATATTAGATACATTAATTCGATCTAAGCCAAACTTTTGAACAACAAAATATTGGGACAGCTTACATAAAAGTCTTAAAAACATGGTTTTATGTCAGTCATGTTCTTCTTCTTCTTCTTTGTTTCCCTCTGTCAAAGCCCTTATCAAACTGCTGTTCATCTGGAGATGTCACATTTTGGAGGGTACCCTAACTGTTCAATCTCCCAGCTATGCTTTGAAGCTACTCTTTCATGCCGTGGAACATACTCCTAACCCACACAAACAAACTCCCTATTCAATTTTCATCTCCAAATGGATTGAAATCTTCATTTTACTCAAGAACTTGTTTGGGATTTACCTCCATGTTCTTCACTAACTCCTCTGCATTAGGTGCAGATACAATAATATGGCGTGCACTTGGACTGATAAAACCTTCCTCTACAGCTTCATCGATGAAGGACAGCAAGGAGTTGTAATATCCATCCACATTCAACAGCCCAACCTGAAAGAACTCAGCGCTCATGTTAATGAATGTTTGATTCATGATTTCAAAGAATATGAACTTTTGACTTACTGGTTTATCATGAATGCCGAGTTGGGCCCAGGTGATTACTTCAAGCAGCTCTTCTAAAGTTCCATACCCACCTGCAATGACCAAACCCCACAATTTCAATACTAATAACAAAGTACGATTACGATGATTTGTTGGATCTTGTAACAATTCAAGCTTATCACTAGTAAATATGGTTTGTTTTGGTCCGTTACGTATAGCTATCAGTTTCACGGTTAACGCGTATGTTAGGAAGAGGTTTCCACACCCTTATAAGGAATGTTTCGTTCTCCTCTCTAACCGATGTGGGATCTCATAATTCATCCCCTTTAGGGCCAGCGTCCTCGTTTGCATACCGCTTGGCCTTACGGTTTTAAAAGACATACGTTAGGGAGAGGTTTCCACACCCTTGCAAGGGATGTTTCGTTACCCTTTTCAACTAATGTGAGATCTCACAATCCATCCCTTTGCTGCCCAACGTCTGACTCTGATACTATTTGTAACAAGTTAAGTCCACCGCTAACAGATATTATCCGTTTTAGCCCGTTACGTATTACTGTCAGCCTAATGGTTTTAAAACAGGGAGTCTAGCCCTACTCTAACCAGTGTCTCGCACCATCTAGTCACTAGCTTTGATACCATTTATAACAACCCAAGTCACCACTAGTAAATATTGTCCTGTTATGTATCGCTGTCAAACTCACAGTTTTAAAACGCGTCTAATATGAAGAGAGTCTAACCCTACTCCGACCAGTGCATCGCACTATCTCGCGCTGATACCGTTTATAATAGTCCAAGCCCACCGTTACTAAATAATATCTGCTTTGTCCCGTTACATATTGTCATCAGCCTCATTCCATACCCTTATAAGAAATGTTTCGTCCTCCTCCTCAAACCAACGTCAGATCTCACAATCCCATTAAATGAAAATGTGAAGGAAGTGGGAAAAACAGGGGAGTTAGGGACCATCTGCATAAAATGGTACTAAGAGCAAGACCAAAAAGGCAGGGACCCTGTATCAGAGCAGCTACGCATTAAATCTTGGGTTAAGTCTTAACTCTATTTTGCCTACACCCCTCTAAGCTTGGGCCCCAAAGAGGCCAGGCCTACCACAGCCTTTCCTTATGGTTAATACTAAGCTTTTGTAGGGCTAAAACGAGGAGAAACAAGCGTGTGAATGTAAGACATGGAGCAGCAAAGAGACAAAGTATTCACAGTGGTTAAAGATAAAGAAGCTTTGAATGAATGTCATGGGGGAATGCAGATAAGAGTATCAAACCAGGCAAGGCGATAAATGCATCAGACCGCCTAGCCATCTCGGCCTTCCTTTGGTGCATGTCTGCCACCGCCTGCACTTCTCCCACCGTCTCTCCAGTTATCTGCAAAGGCAAGAACAGAGCGTCAAGTCCATGTAGCTAAGTGAATGGCATGGTTTATGTAACAGTGACATACCTCTCTTGGCATCAGGGTCTTGGGAATGACTCTACAAACAAAACCCAGAAAGAAAAGAAGGTTTAGTCTAAGTATGAAAAGGAAAAGGGAAGGGAAAAGGAAGCTAACCCAACAACATGGCGGCCACCGTTATGAACAGCTTGGGATACCAACCCCATCAATCCAACGCTACCTCCGCCATAAACCAAATCAATATTCCTGGAAACCTAAACCATTGAAACCTCTTTCAATTACAAAACTATGAACGACCCATTTGAAAACAGAAAGAGTTGAAAAGGGGGGAAGCGAGAAATTACAAGTTCTTTTGCAAGGGCAATGGCTGCATCTTTATAGCTAGTCTTCTTGCCGGGACTGCTGCCACAGAACACACAAATCCTCTTGAAAATGGGTAATTTGGGTTCATTTTCCCTCTCCATTGTTGGAAATTGCCTCAGATTCAGTGTTGTGGTGTGGTGTGGTACCTGTTGGTGGAGGAACAAGAATGTGCGTGGTTACATATATAGCTGCGCTGCACTGCACAGGACCAAACATATTGACGCAGCTAATTCCTCTCTCTCTCTCTCATTGGTCCACTGTTTTGAGAAGGACAGGGGAAAGTGACTGCATTACCTCGACTGAAATTCAGCAATCTTATTCGCTAATAAAACTATCGTTTCTTTTCTTACACCAAAATTGTGTGAAAAAACTAGCTTTAATAACTTTCTTCCCTTCCTTTTGCCTTTATTTTTGACTCAATAACCAAAAAGATGTCGGCTTTACATGATATGCATCTCAAATTGAAATGGGTTGTTCTTAAATTCGATTAGTTGGAAGAAAAAGTGGCCAAATTCTAAAGGGTTCAAAGTGTTTGATCATAAAACCTTAAGAAAAAAACATGGTAGACAGTAGAGATGCATGCAAGATTGTAAGAGCGTTCAAAGTTTGGTTTTGTTTAATGTTTTTTCCACGTCGTTGGGATGTAGGAAGAGACATGGTGTGTTGAGCAAAGGGATGGGTGATCTGAGCTGCTGCTGCTTCTTTTTGCTACATGCATCACTGTCGTCCCATATAAGCAGAGCTTTGGATCAACAAAGATATATTGCACTTTCTGCTATGCATCAGAATCCCCAACTCCTCCATTATTGCTTTTGTTTCTCATACACACCTCAATACCAACTCCCATAACTCATCAAAGTTTTATAACAACACCACCCCGAACATAACTTAATTGGTTAAGATGAAAAAAAAGTGCGTGGAGGTAGCTTGAAAAAATCGTTAAAGATGACTTTTTTGTATTGCTGCACAACAATCGTTAAATAGAACTACTGATTGCTCACTACTAGCAAATATTGTCCACTTTGGCCTGTTAAGTAGAGGTTTTCACACCCTTATAAGAAATGTTTCGTTCCCGATGTGGGATCTCACAATCAACCCAACTTGAGGGTCCAGCGTCCTCGCTGACACACCGTCCAGTGTTTGGCTCTGATACCATTTGTAACAGCTCAAGGTCACTACTAGTAGATATTGTCCGCTTTGAGCTTTCCATTCTGGGTTTCCCTCAAGGTTTTAAAACAAGTTAGCTAGTGAGATGTTTCCACATCCTTATAAAGAATGATTCGATCTCATAGTTTGAGTTGGTGACTGAAGGTTGAAGATATAGTTCCCACAGCAGGAGAAAAGATGGCAGAAGAGAAGAAAAAGTAAAGGAAAGAAAGGGAGTCCCTTGGGCGGCACGTGGGCATCTTCCCCCACCTCTTTAGAGGGACAAGGTATGAGGAATATGCTTTGAGAGGCACTATAAGGCTCATAATTGGAGGGGAAAGAACCCCTCCATGGAAGGCTTTTGAAGGTGGGAGTGACCAATGGGAGTCCAAAACCTGTCAATAAGGGCGCTCAACTTGGTTTCACCAAATAAGGAAACAGGGTCT